ATACTAAAAGATCTTTATTTCCTCCTTTTTTTTCCTTTCTTTTTGAAATCTGTGTGTGTGTCTGTGTGAGAATTAAAGGGTAATCTTTGTGCAAAACGCACGTGCATGTTTTGTGTAAAAAAGGCTTTATTTGATTTGAAGTTGATTTTGAACACATGTAAATAATCTAATGAGTCTTACATCCTCAACACTAGATTAGAATAAAACTCCACATTCCTGATCAATCAGCTAAAGGATACAGARTATGAAACTGACAATGAAGACTGTACTTGTACCTGCACATTTGTGTGTGAAGTTTTTAACACTACTCATTCTGTTGGTGGCTGTATGTCAGTTTCCTTTTCATTGTTACAGAGCTGAAACCTGCTTAACATCCAATGTGTCACCTCACTCTTACATCAGTTTTTATCTTCAATTTTTATATTTTGGTTTTGGAAATACAGATGTTCCATTTAGTCAAAGGCAGGCTTTTTTTTTTAAGCCAATTATATTGGAATTTTTCACCAAGACATATTTTCTTGTTTTTACTGTCTCGACTGTTATGTATAATTCATTGACTATAGAATGAGTTTTTTTAAAGGCTTTATAGATAACAATATCATAACTTTATACTATGAATAATGTACATACTGATGTAGAGACTATATTTTGAATTGTATTTTATTTTGACACAATTTCTTAAGTCCTATTTACCAATAAGTTAAAAATAATATTATGACATTGTCTGTAAGGGCCTTAGGAATAAGGTAAACATGTTATAATCTTTTTAAGAACTTATTTTTAGTAATTGATCAACATAACTTACAGTTGAGTTGCTGGAATTCACAGCATACTTTTCTGGATCTATAACCTAGTCTATACCAATGTTTTAAACATTAAACTTAAAACTCAGGGGGATAAAGGTTCTTCAACTTAAGATCTTCTCTCCAGATCTCCATTCTTTGGAGTTTCCATGAGTGTGACCTGAAGAACTTGGAACCATTGAAATTCAAATGTAGGTAGGTAAGTGTTCACACCAGCGCATGCGTTGATTGCCTTATATCTCTTTGTATATGCATCTGTATTGCACCCCCTCAGTGCCTTTCTTCCTCTTCCTCCCCATAGATCATGTAGGGCCTGTGTCATCTTGATATTATGTAGTTTTGTAAATCTGTATTTTGGTCAATATTTGTGTGTGATGTTTGTCAGGAGCAATTTTTTTAAAAGCCTTCAGACGTTTATGACATTGTGTTGTCTAAAGACTGTCTTTCACACATAAGTGTTTGTTATGTATGGGCCTGGGTTGCATTTTTGTGAATTGCTGTGTTTTTTGAGCTCTGATAAACATTTTCCTGGAGTTGCTGGTGTTTCTTGAGGGATGCAAAAGTTTTAGTCTTGCAATTGTTTCACATACTCCCTCCATTATATCTAGAGAATGTGAATTATTTCTGGTTCTAAGAATTTCTTCTGTTGGTTTTTCAACTAGAAGTCATATTCCTGATTTTATTCATGTTAGTATGGGTGTCAGCAATTATTCTTTGAAGAACATTCATAAGCTTTCATTGGACAAGTTTTTTAAAAGTGATCAACTAGTCATTTGCTTCTGTTGATAAGAATTAATAATTAACTTGTCTACACCAATAGGACCCCAGCCCGTCTACGTAATTCAAAACAAAACAAAACCTACTTCATGGTAACATTGTTATAACTGAAATAAGTAAACAGACTAAATCTGGAATATTCTCCTACCCTTAGGTAGACCTCCTGTTCAAATAAACAAGAGAAATTCAAATGAGAAATTCAGGTGCTTTATTAAAGTAATTTCTCTCAAAATACCTAAGCACCAAAATTTGGGATTCTACATGCTTTAACCTTTTATCACATCTGCCAGGCACATCTTTGAACTTAAGAATGTCTTTTCCATGTTTTCTTCCCTTCTTCTATTTCTCGTAAAAATTAGCTAATCCTTTTACAGTGGTTCTTAAACACTTGGTCTCTGGATCCTTTTAAACACCTAAAAATTTTTGAAGCTTTCAAAAAAATTTATATGGGTAATATCTAACAACATTTACTGCAGTGGAAATTAGAATAGAGAAAATTTAAAGTACTTGTATTATATTTTTAAATAACAATAAGCTCATTATATTAACATACATAATGTTTTATTAAAAACATTTTCAAAAACAAAATTTCTGAGAAAAGCATCTTTTTCTACAGTGTGTCAGGGTGAAGAATCTGACAGCTATTTACACAAATCACTGCCTGGGTTCAGGCTAAAGTGCAAGCAGTTTTATCTACCATTCTTTTTATCCTGTCAACGCAAATGTCAACATAGTGAAAAAGGCAATGTCCTGGTAATTTTATAAAAAGAATTTGGACTTTGTGATCCTTTAAGAGGTTTCAGGAGTCCTGCTTTGAGAACCATGTTTTAGGATGCTTTTTTTTTTAACATAAAATGAAAATTTATATAAGCCTGTTTGAGTAAAGGTCTTTTTCTCCCTCTCCTGTGGGTCTTCATTATCCAAGAATAATTTCTTGAGTGCAGTTTGGACAAATTTTAGAGTTATTTGAGTAGAATTATTGTTTTAGTTATCATTATGGAAATAGATATAAAAGAAAGCACCCAGTTGGTCCAAAAAGAGTCTGTCCAATTGGATGACTATATATATTTTTCCCTTGTGTGTGGTATGTGTGTTGTATGTGAGCATATACTTAATTTAGCTCCTGATTAATTTTAAAATTTCTTTTCAAGAAGTAATGTGATTTTCATGAATTATGGCAATTCACGTCATTTGCCATTTGACTGTGCTACTTCTCCTGATCTATAATTTCAGATATTACTGGTGCAATTTGTATGCTAAAGACTTTGTAAAGCTCTGCAACATTTCTTAAATTTTGCCCCCCTTTTTCTTGGAACCAAAGTTTATAGCATTTTAAAAGCAGTCCAAGAAAGTGATAGAGATGCCAAGTTAGGAAAACATGAAGAACATCATCTTCTAAGTGGCATTCTCCTCTTATCTCCTTCACAAAACGTGTTACTCCTCTGATGTCCCTGGACTGTTGGATTTTTATAGATTGTACCAACAGTACTGAGGGGGTGTGTGATGCTTACATATATGCAGACATAGAGCAGAGTTTGACTCACACTCAATGCATGCGCTAGTGCTCACGCTTACATACCTGAAATTTTAATAATTCAGCAGCTCTGCAGTATTTGAAAAGCTAGTCAAAATGAATTAAAAAATAAATACACTGCTAAACAACCAAGGATATGCAGAGGTGATCCTCTAATAAAGAACTCTACTGGTAAGTAATCAAAATAATTTCTAACTTGGAAAGCTCCTTGGTGCATGACCATTATAAAATTATAATCATAATGCCAAGTATTCTGCCCATATGACATGGAGGTATAACACTATAACTTATAACATAAGTATTTTGCCTGTAAGGGTTGTGAACCATCTATTGATTGCTGTATTATATATCTAAGGAAAAAATTATATCAAAAGTATAAAAATAAATCATTTAGTTAAGTATATAGCCTTTTTCAATTTCCATTTAGAATAAAATTCATAATTCCATTACAAAATTTAGAATTATTTTATTACATTATTTAAACTTTAACCTTCCCTTTTTCTCAGTTTTATCTTCTATTCTTGCTTTGGTAATAAGCTCCTTTCTAGTATAGATGGGTCCCCACAACCAAACCAGATAATTATCTGTAATTACTACCCACTCATCAGTTTTCAGGGGCAGCAAGCTTCTATTGGCTATCTCTTCATACCTCAGTCTAAAAGCCAGGAAGAATTAACAACAAAATCCACCAGACGAGTAATCAACTGGCATGTGAGACAGCTCAAACCGGCCTTTGTGTTCTGATAATCACCTACCCCCTTCCTTATCTACAGGTCAAGAACTATAGAAAATAATAGAGATTAGCAAGCATACCCAGTCAAGGATTTGTACTATGAGGAAAATGTGTTTTGTAGAAAACAGTGTTATCTTTAGATTCCAAATAGGTAACTTAAAAAAATGGAGAAAATTATTAGAATGAAAATGGCATGTTATTTTAAAAAGAAAAAGAAAACTTTGAAAGAGTATTACTGTATCTTTGGATGAACCAGTTATTGATGCTGATATAGTGTTTTGCATAAAAACACAAATGTTTGCATATCTCTCTTAGCTTATCCTAAGAGGCAGTACTTTTGCTTTTCATTTTGGCTAATGTACCTTCAAGCTTGCTGCAGGTATTCTGTAAGTCCACGAAGAACTATTGTGGAAATCCAGGGCATGTTTAGTACCTTAAAACCAATTTGCTGCTTAGAAAATGCAGGCAAACTAATGACAAGGTCATGTTGACCTGTTTCTCATCACTTCTCAAACCATCTCTTTGACTGAGATGATCTGTTATTATAATTAGATAAAGCTTTGAAAAGAAAAACATTTTTGCCTTGTTAAAACTACATTTCTTCCTAGCAGTCATCAAGGAACATTCTGCTTGCATATACTTAATCATTTATGTATTATATAATTTTCTTTTTTCACTATAAAGAAATATAGTTAAAGGATGCTAAAGATTTTTTATCTCCTTTCTTGGTCTTTACTAAACTTACTATTTTCCTTAGGATTTTCATATATTCTGTGATTTCCTGTAATGCAAATGTTACTTTGTCTAACCTTTTCATTTAAAAGTCAATGGTAATGTTTACTTATACATCATAAAATCCTGATCATTAAAGGTATAAGACCCTCTTTTTAAAAAAAGTGAATTACATATTCTTTAAATTATTTTCATTTCTAAATTTCTTTTGGTCATTGAAAAGATTAAAAATTCAACCCTTCTGTTCTGAACTGGCTTTTAAATGTTCTAGTCAACCATATGAATGGACTTCATTTTCCTTTACTGTAATTGCAATTGCATTGAGTTTAGGGAGAATAACAGGTATTTTCTTCTTACTAATGTTCATTGATATGTGAACAGTTTTCTTCCCTTTTTTTTCTTTCTTTTTTCTTTTTTACAGATTCCCTTCAGGCTCAGCTTATCAATATGGGTGTTATCCCTACCTTAGTGAAATTACTGGGCATCCACTGCCACAATGCGGCTCTTACAGAAATGTGTCTTGTTGCATTTGGTAATTTAGCAGAACTTGGTAAGTCCGAGTCATGAACCACAAATGTCATGAACTTATTAATGCAGTTATACATGTTTATTTAAATGTTAAAAGCCACAAATCCACTTAGATTGTGTTGTTTTAAGTAGTAGAAATACTTGTTTAAATTTTTTTTAAAAGATCCAATTAGATCATATGATGGATGGTATTGTTTATGTATTTTTTTCCCTCCTTCTTTGTTTGCTTCCTCTCCCTTCCCTTTCTCCTTCCTTCCCACAACTTGGCAAAAAAAAAAAAAAAAAAAAAAAAAAGACAAATCTTAGTTTGAATTAGCAGCAACACTCTGTTAATTTTTCTAACTCAAAGCTCATGACACTACACATTGAAATCTCCATTTTAGTACTATATCTTTGATGTCAAACTTTAAAAAATAGGAATTATTTATCAGAGATTTTTTAAAAATCATTTTTATTCAGTGGTCATATCTGAATATTTATGAATATTTTTTCTTCTCTGTTTTTTTCTTCTTTCTCATATTAGCCTGATTAACACTTTTCCCCCTACCTTCAAATAAGACCAAAAAAGGAAAGAACATTCATTCAGTGTTTCACACTTAATTTGCATCATTTAAATGGATTGTAGGGTGTGTCCAATGTAGTTGGTAGAAATAAATCAGAAATCATGCTGTAATCCCATACCAATAGTGTCTGTCAGTCTTTGTACCAGAAATATAAGTGTCTCTCTTAATTTACCTTCAGTTTCATCATATTCAAAGACTGGAGGTCCTTTACTTTTATATTTCAGGATGAGTAGTTTCTAGAATGGCATTGACCTGCATAATAGCCACTAATCTTGCCTATATTCATTTACTTTTTTACTGTGTCTATAAGGAAATTTTAATTTGCATATGTGGTTACACTGGGGGCAGGGCACTGGGGTTTGAACTCAGGGGTACTCAGCCACTGAGCCACATCCCCAGCCCTATTTTGTATTTTATTTAGAGACAGGGTCTCACTTAAGTTACTTAGCGGTTGCTGGGGCTGGCTTTGAACTCGAGATCCTCCTGTCTCAGCCTTCCCAAGCCACTAGGATTACAGGTGTGTGCCACTGCACCCAGCCATATGTGGTTACATTTTAAAAATGGATTATATGTCTATTGGACAGTGATGCTCTAGAAAATACAACAAAGTCATCCTTCACCCTGTGAAGTTCCCTTTCCTTTTAAGGTTTTAGGAATACATGGAGGAAAGCAAAGACTGATGAGTTTATCTCTCCTAACCTTAAGAAAAAGTTAGTACCAATTAAGGAAATGATTGCAATCCTTGGATAAATTATATTAGAGCTTATATAATTCTAGTTGCTCACTGAGGATTATTTTATTCTTTTTATGGTCATGTGTCTGAATTTTGTAAAAGTTTTGACTTCAGGAACTATGCAGACCTCCTGCTTAATCTCATGCGAAGGGAGTTAGGTTATTGGTTCACTGTATTCCAATAAACTGTTTTATTCCTGTAAGAGCCAAGAAGAAGCATTTACTGATTACTATATCTCCTCTAGTGAAATGAATATATTACCATGGAAGAGGGTGGGACTTGAGAGTATTCATTGTAAGAGTCCTGCACTTTATATAAAGGAGGGTCCTGAATCTGTATTAAACCTCTTTCTCATTTATAGTGGTCCTATGAAGTAAATAGGGCCTAATTTTTACAGTTAATTCAACCCAGTGATGTATTTAATATGTGACTTACTAGTAATTAGTCATACTGATTAGTACTATGAATTCATGCTTATATAGTAGAGAACTTCCTTCTGGGAGAGAAATTTTATAAAAGGCAATTAGTGTTTTTAATTTACTGAAATTACACAAATCTCTTGCATATTTGAACCTTAATCATTCAATATAGAAATATTGATATAGCTCTTCTGTGTTAAGACATTATAATACAAATATAAAATATTAACATTTCTCCAAAAGCACATCATAGAAACCCATATTGTAAATTGCTTATATTAGGGCAATATTTTTCAGTTTTTGGATTGTGGCCCACAATAAGAAATGCATTTTGTATCACCACTTATTACATAAACACACCTGAAACTAAACAGTACTTATCTTCACCATATTCGGTGCATTTTGATAGTTTATTTTCTGTTTTTTAGTGTATTGGTTCACAAACCTAAATTGATTTTTATAACTTAGTGGATTACAATTTGGCATTTGAAAAATATAACATTCCTATTATGTGAAAATCATTTGAACAACAGTTTTTTTTTTTTTTACTCTGGTACTCGAGATGAATAGTCTTTTTATATATTAAAAAAAACTTGAATTCTCACACAAGGTATCTTTAAGTGACAACTTCAAATACTCTCTTCTCCTTTGAATATTTATAATTATTTTTACTATATGTATAATATGTATAGCTTATCTGTTACTGATTTTACTAAAACATTTGCTTTATTTAGGCTGAAAATAATTAGTTATTTAGAATTTTATTGATATGTAAAAAGATTTTTATCAAGTTTAAGAATTTATGAAAATTTTGTTAATACATACTTACAAGTTGATAGTTTAAAGTTCTATAATCTGTATTATGCCAGCAGCCTGTGTTTTGTAAGCAGTGTTTTTACTGAGCTCTGTGAATTTTCAGAGATTGCTATAAAAACAGTATTAGAAGACTAAAAGGAGGGGAATGACTCAGTATTGAATCTAGTCATCTTATTCTTTAGAAAAGTGTAAAAGGTTTGCCAAAAGCAAAAAGCCCAGAAACAGGCAAAATATTTGCCCCGTATTTCATTTGTTTACCAACGTTTTTAGACATTAATACTGTTTGAGGTAGCCAAAGTTATTGTGTTTTTAATTTTCTATCCACCTCTTATAAATTATTCTCCATTCTTATTTTGTATACCTTACTGGATAGTGCTTAGCATGTATTATTTATTAACCAAATGATAACATGAATGAGTACATAAATACATTACAATAATGTTAGAAGCAACAGGGGAATGGAAGTTTTGATTGAACAAATTAATAAGGAAAAAATAATCTGGGCTCCCCAAAACAGCACTGGAGCTGGCAATATAGCTTAATGATATCGTGCTTGCCCAGCATGCATTGGGCTGCCCTGGCAGGGGAAGTAACAGGTAAGTAGACACTTCTAAAGACAACTTTGCCTGCCTTGCTCTTGTCCCTACTATACTGGGCAAATATATCTAAATCCATGTAAGTGGGTTATGGCCCACTCAACACTTTGCAGTCTCTTATGCTTGCTCCTTCTTTTCCACCAAATCTCTATAAGTACCTGTTCCTTGAGACTTGGTTCTTTGCTTTCTTACATTCCTGGTTCTCACTGACCCTAGACAATCTACTTTCCTTCTATAGCATCAGACGCCATCTCTGATGATGCATTCTTCTTTGTAGGTCCCCAATGGAAACATCTTTAATCCCACAAAATTTATGAGGCTTAATAAGGCAGAGTTGCATTTTTCTTTTCTCCCTTCAATTGTGAAAAAAATTTCACTTGTCAGTTATTTTTTGTTTTATCTTTAAGCTACTATATATTATTAGTGAGCAAAACCATACAAGTTTCTGTGGTTTATCATTTTTATTAGAAATGTTTTTGACAAAAAGTGACTCTAGCACTTAGGAATGCATGTGAGTTAAGAAATTAGAGGCAATATATGTAGACAATGGTATCAAACTTGTTTGTAAAAGTGAATGAGATTTACTTTTAAAAAAATTTTTATTGGATATAGTTGATGAATAAAGTGAGGGTAGAGGAAAGGAAGGTGTTTTTAATTTTTCTATGTGAGGAATTTACGTATTTAAATACTGATTGATGGTGAAGCTCCAGAGTAAGGGCTCTAGGTTGGGCATACTGGAGAGGGAATGAGGAATGAGATCCCCCTCCCCCAGTACTTGTGAAGAATTGGCCTTTAAGTAGTAGTCATCGAATGCCTTACACGGCATTGCAAGGCCCATTCTCAGCACCGCAAACCTTCCTGCACCGCCAAAAGAAGACAACAAAAAGTTATACTTATGTTAGGACCAGTACAGAAACATACCACTTTAATAACATTAAAGATAAGACGGTGTCATCCTTTATTCTGTGACATATAATCTGTTTTAAACAGTTTTTCTTCAACTAAAAGACTTGACACTGTGAATTTTATGACCTACTAATTTTATTGTTGTTGTATGACTTATATATCATGCTAGTGAACATTTCTTAACAGCCTCAAATATAATTGAGCCAGAATATTTTCTCTAGAGCCTTAGACATTTTTCTTTTTCAAGGGCCTTAGTTTGATTGTTCCTATATTTGAAGTGTGCTTATATTTAGTAGTAGTACAAAATGACTAAGTATTAACAGGAAACAAATTTCTGGGTTTTACTTTCTTTATTCTAAATTTTTTTCTTTATTTTTCAGAGTCAAGTAAAGAACAGTTTGCTAGTACCAATATTGCTGAAGAGCTAGTAAAACTCTTCAAGAAACAAATAGAACATGATAAGAGAGAAATGATTTTTGAAGTTCTTGCTCCATTGGCAGAAAATGGTAAGAAAATAAATGTACCTCTTGACTTTTGATCATGTAAAATTTTTCAGGTTTTAGTTGCTAGTTCTTTAACTCAAAACCCTTCCCTGTATTATTATTGATATGTTAAGTTTTATTTTGGTATCTCTAACATCAGCTACATTTTCTACTCCATAACTATACATGGGTGAAAGCTATTTTCCAAGATCCTTTGATTTTTAAAGAGTAAAGACGCTTCTGTAGCTAACACTTTCTTGTTCCAATTTGGAAAAGGTAGCTGAAAAGCCAAACTCCATATCTGTACCCTTGTATGGCAAAGAGGTTAAAAGTTGAAGTCCCAGGCTGGCCAACAATGAGAATATTAGTAAACGACTCCCTTTTTTGAGCACAAAATATCTTTTGTAATGCACTATAGAAGTAAGAGTGAATCAGAGGAAGCAAACCATGCCTTTAATAACTTTTCAAATACAATGTCTAGCACAAAATCAAAGAGAACCAGGCACATAAGGAGATGGCACTATACATAAGAGCTAACACAAGGAACTGAAAGCAAACATAAAAATTTAAAAGAAGGAAACTGGAAAATTAAAAACATGACATGGTAGATTTTAAAAACAAATAAAAATGCTGAATTGAAAAATCCAACCAAAATTAAGAACCTAATTGGTGGTTTTACCAGCAGATTAGATACAGTTGATAGAGAATCATCGAACTAAGGTAGATTAGAAAGGAATTCAGAATGAAATGTAAAGAAAAGCAGATCCTATTTACATAAAAGAGGAGGTGGAGTCTCAGAAGGAGTGTAGAATTTGGGGGTGAGGTGTGCAGAGAGAGGCAACATTTAAAGAAATTCTGGCAGAAGCTTAATCAGAAATTATGGAAGATATCAAAGACTCAAAAAGCCCAATGAAACTAAGACATGAAAATAATCTTAGTCTGTGGTACTTAATCATAGCAACAGAAAACAAACTGTAATTTATAAAGAATAAAAGTTTATTCAGCTCACAGTTCTGAAGGCTGGAAAGTTCAAGATTGGGCAGATGTATCTAGAGAAGTTGTTGCTAGTGAGAATTTTCTGTAGGGCATCAACACATAGCAAGGAAAAACACTCTTGTTCTTATAAAACCACAGTCCTGTTTGATTATGTCCCCACCCTTATGGCTTTATTTAACCTTAATTACCTCCCAGGGATTCTACCTTCAAATGCCACAGTCAGTTTAAGTCTCTGCTCTCTTAATACCTCACAATAGGGATTAAATTTCAAAAGGAGTTTTGGTGGGGACATTCAAACCAAAGAAACAAAAAAGAATTCACCTCTAGGTTATATCAAACTGAAAATGCAGAGAAAAAAAAAAAAGGACAAAATCTTAAACCAGGAAAAAAAAAATAAACAGATTACCTTAAAAGAAACAACAGTTTGACAGTTAACTTCTCAACAACAACTGTGCAAGATGACATTGGGACACCATGTTCTATGTAGCAAGAGAACCAACCTAGAATTCTAAATGAAAGTACTCTCCAAAAATGAAGGCAATATAAAGGTGTTCAGATTTTAAAGATTCAGTTTACCAATGTACCCTCATTGAAGAAAATTACAAAGCTGGTCCATTAGATAAAAGGAAAATGATATAGATGCAGGAGAATGAAGACCAAAAATAAAAGGGGGAAAAAAGCAATTAATTTAATTGTGAGGTTTAAAATGGATAGTACTTAATTTAAAATATACCACAGAATGAGCATATAAATCAGGTGAGAAGTAAAAGAAATTAGAATCTAAGACCCATGCATTATGTAGAAGGTACTGTTATGACTTTCATTATTCCATGATTTCAGTTTTTAAGGTAACTACCAAAATAGTTTTTAAAAATAATATGTAACTACTTATCTAATAGAAGGATGCATGGGAAGTTCTGTGACCTAAGTGTGTAGGAAGTGTCTGCACTAATATTAAGAAGTATACTTTCATTACTTCAGAGGTCAAACAAGAATCATAATAGAAATCAAAAATTTTTCAAATAATGAAAATTAAAATACCATATGTCTCAAATCTGATGTGATGCCCCTAAAGCTATTCTTGGAAATTTAAATTAGAAATGTTTTGCATGTTAGATAAGGCTGGGGTTGAGCTCAGTGGTAGAGCAMTTGCCTAGCACAGGTGAGGTACTGCATTTGAATCTCAGCACTACATAAAAATAATAAATAAAGGTATTRTGTCCATATAAAACTAAAAAAAATTAATTAAAATAAATAAACAAATGCATGTTAGGAAAGGAGGAAAACTAAAATCAGTGAGCTTACTATCCATTTTATGCTTTTAAAGGAAAATAAACCCAAGATAGCAAAAGGAAGGGAATATAAAGAGCTAAATTTAATAAATAAGAAAACATGCAATGTACCACAAGCATCAAATTGCCAAAAGTTGAGTCTAGAAAGACTTAATAAATTGGTAAAGCCCTACAATAAGAGCAGTGAGGAAATAAAGAGAAAGCACAAATAACCAAAATCAAGAATTAAAAAGGATACAGATTTTGCAGATTTTTTTTTTTTTTGAGAAGGGGAGAGAGAGAGGGAGAGAATTTTTTTAATATTTATTTTTCAGTTTTCGGTGGACACAACATCTTTATTTTTTATTTTATGTGGAGCTGAGGATCGAACCCAGCACCCCGCGCGTGCCAGGTGAGCGTGTTACCGGTTGAACCACATCCCCAGCCCCAGATTTTTTTAATATTTATTTTTTAGTTGTAGTTGAACACAATACCTTTGTTTTGTTTATTTATTTTTATGTGGTACTGAGGATCGAACCCAGGTCATCACACATGCTAGGCAAGTGCTCTACCGCTGAGCCACAACCCCAGCCCCCAAATTTTGCAGATATTAAATGGGTATTGTGAAAAATTTGATCCAGGGCTGGGGATGTGGCTCAAGCGGTAGTGCGCTTGCCTGGCATGCGTGCGGCCCGGGTTCGATCCTCAGCACCACATACCAACAAAGATGTTGTGTCCGCCGAGAACTAAAAAATAAATATTAAAAAATTCTCTCTCTCTCTCTCTCCCCTCTCTCACTCTCTCTTTAAAAAAAAAAAAAAAATTTGATCCAGTACATTTTAAAGTTTGGATAACACAAATACAAAATAGAAAAACTGAATACTTTTATTTTAAATTCTACCAGACAGTGAACAAAGCAACTATACTTACCAAGTTTACTTTAGTGAGGCTAGTGAGTCCTTTCACCAAATCCCAATAAAGATAATGTAAGAAGGAAAATTAAAGGCCAGTCTCATCCTAAATATACATCCAAAATTCTTTTTGAAACTAGCAAATCAGAATATATTTAAAAGTTAATCATGCCAAATTGCATTGGTTCTGAAAATGTAAAGCAATTTTATATTCAAAATTCAGTCAGTATAATTCATCAGCTTAATTATAGTGGAGAAATTATATTATCTCCGATTCAAAAGAAAAATTTGCTAACATTATCCCTTCACAATTTTTAAAAAACTCTTAACAAACCAGTACTAGCAAAGGACTTCTTCAGTCTAAAAAGAATCTCTACAAGAAACTTACGGAAAATATAACACGCAATAGTTAAATAAAAAACATTCCCTTGAGATTGGAAGTAAGGAGGACCAGCCCCACTTCTTCTATTCAATCTTGTATTGACGAACTGCCCAATGAAGGAAGAGATCGAAATAAAACTGTCGTTATTCAAAGATAATATTATGAGTGTTCAATTCAAAAGAATATATTGGTCAATTCTGTAAATCAGAATTTAGATAAGTTTTCTTATCTAAAAAGGAGAAGCCAAAATAAAGTGTATTTCTATATGCCAGAAAAACCCAGAAAATAGAATGTTTAAAATGAACTGTTTATCTTAGTATGAAAAATAAAGCACTTAAGAATGAACTGATCATAGACTTGCCAATATCTCTGGGAAGAAACTGTAAGAAATCATTGAGATAAATTAAAGAGCTAAATGAGTGGAAAACTGTAACACTTTCATAGATTGGAAGCCTCCGTGTTCTAATGATATCATATCTCTCTGTCAATTTGTGAACTCAGTGCGGTTGTAATTAAAATTTCCCAAAGGTCAGGAATAGCCAAGATTACTGGAAGAGAATGTGTTGGCAGAAGTGGTTTTACTAGATAACAGTAGCAAAATTTTATTTTAATAAAACTGTATTAAAAATTCCCACAGATCATTAAGAAAAATATAGAAAACTGAGGGAAAATATACCCAAATCTCACAACAATCAGAAAATGCAAAACCAAACCACTGTACAATACCACTATCTAGCTACTGGAAAGTTTGGTATTCTAGGTATTGGTGAGGGTGTGGAGCAATGGGATCAACCATTAAGTGCCAGAGAGAGTATAAATGGTGCAATTCAGAATTCATACCTACTGAAGTTGGAGCTGTTCATCCCTATGACCCAGCAATTCCACTCTTAGAAATAGACCTCTAGGCCAGGTAGGTGGTGCACGCCTGTAATCCCTGCGACTCAGGAGGCTGAGACAGGAGGATCACGAGTTCAAAGCCAGCCTCAGCAAAAATGAGGTGCTAAGCAACTCAGTGAGACTCTGTCTCTAAGTAAAATACAAAATAGGGTTGGGGATGTGGCTCAGTAGTGGAGTGCCCCTGAGTTCAATCCTCAGTATACCCCCGCCAAAAAAGAAATAACACCAAGAAACCTGTGCATATACGCACCAGGATGTTCAAGGCAGCATTATTTATAATAACAAAATAATTGGAACCAACACATATCCATTAAAGGTAGAATGATCGGTAAAACATGGTATATTCAAATAATGGAAAAATCATTATGAAAAGGAATGAAGATAGCTAGAACCATTAATGTATATGATTCTCATAATACTGAAAGGCGAAAACCAGTGCTGAAAAAGTACTAACTATTTGGCTTATGTGAAATTCAACATAAGGTGGAACAAAACCAGTTTTCAGAAATGATTCTTTATTTGCTAAACCAGTAAAAATATAGAAGTGATTACAATATCAACCCAGGTAGTGCTTTGAGAAGAATGAAGGGAGGTGCTCATGATCAGTAAGGGAAAAGCGCAGAGGGGCTTCCTGGATTGTTGGCAATTAATTTCTTGATTTAGATGATAGATGCATGGTAATTCTCTTTCTAATGATTTATTATGCTTAACATTTACATTTTCTGCACTCTTATGCATTTATGGGTTTTTTTCACAATTTAAAAAGTCATTTAATACACATATACATATGATACATATATGTATGTATGTATGCATTTTTACATATATAAGCAAACAGGTATTCTTGGACAGAATGGTAATGATAAATATGCTGGCTTTTTACTTTCCCTGAATGCCCTGCTAGTCCTAATTAATTTAGTTTAAGCCTCCTAAATATAATCGTGATTATAGTCAAACTGTAAGAATAAAGATCTATGATCTTTAATCTTGACATATTTTACATTTTCTAATTGACTTAGATCTTTTTCTTTAGGAATAAACTTGTTTTTTATCTCATTTGATGGTTCTAGAAAGTGAAAACTTAATCATGATCTTTTTGTTTGTTTGCTGGCACCAGGGAGCCACATTACCAGTCCTTTTCATTTTTTATTTTGAGACAGGGTTCCTGAATTGCTTAAGGCCTCGCTTGGTTGCTGAGGCTAGTCTTGAACTTGAAATCTTTCTGAACTTGAAATCCTTCTAAATTGCTGGGATTACAGAAAACTATAGGTAATACTCTGGCATAAAACTGAGTGAAGGCCAGGCATAGTCAATTTTATACCAGAGAATTACCTGTTATTTTCCTTGCAGTATTTGAGAATGACAATATTTTTATTTTTTTAGTAGATTTTTATGGTTTTACATAGTAGTTGGTTTCATCCTGACAAACTTGGACATGCATAGGAATCAGAGGGTTTTGTTCGTTTTCTTCTCTACCTCTACCTCCACTCCAGTGGGTGAAGGGATAGCTTTGAAAACTCGTTTCTGGATAAACCTTTGCATATCATTGTGGTTTTCTTGGTATAAAAAGAAGAGTAATTTTATGTCGGAATTTATATAGTTCAAGGTATGTAGTATTTTTAAATCTTTTTTTTATGATGGTTTTCAATTCTGTTTGCTACACATTTCTAGCCCTAGCATTGTGTAACCAAGGAAACGCCCTACTTTTTCCAAGGCACAGTACAAGTATACCTTTATAAAAGTATTCCAGGATGCATATTCTGTGTATTTTGAGACAATATTCAAGAGAGAATTGATCTTCCTGGTAATAGTAAAAAGCTATATTTTTATACTTTAAAATTGTCTAGCAATCAAAGTCTTAAGTATATGTGTCTTAAGTATCCAATATATGTTTATGTCTTTGTTTCTTCCAAATGAGAATCTGAAACTATGATTGCTGTATATGTGTGCATATACAGCTTAGGGAAATCAATGATCAAAAAATAAAATTTAAATTTAAAAATCTTTATAAATGTATTTCTTAATTCATTTTGTCTCATTGTCCTAGATGTGCAACACCTATAAAAACTTAAATTGATATTGTTTGAGGGTTTCTGAGGGTTTGGGGGTGTGGAGGGTTTGGGGGTGTGGTTGGTTGTTTTTTGGATTTGGATTTTTTATTGGTGGGGGTTTTTTTTGTTTTTGTTGTTTTGTTTTGTTTTTTGTTACTGGGGATTGAACCTAGGGGCTCTGTACCACTGGGCTTCATCCTCAACCCTTTATATTTTTTTGAGACAGGTTCTTGCTCAGCTGACCAAGCTAGCCTAAAACTTGCGATCATCCTGCCTCAGCCTCCCAAGTAGCTGGGATTATTACAGGCATGCACTAAGAGGCTCAGCTAAAACTTAAATTGAACAAGAAATATACCAACTAGTGATAACTTTAATATTTGAAATTTTATTATATTTGCAGAATTTAAAACTTAGGATTTGATGGGTTAAGTGTCAAATTCAAAGCATTTAGATAAGCCAGTTTAGGTTAAAAATAAAKATTAATAAGCTGTATCTGTTCTTAACAGGAGATGGATATGGATCCGAATAAAAAATCTTTAATGAAGTAAAAATGCTATAAGGAAAGGATATTTAAAGCATTAGGGATGTAAAAAGTTTACATACTATAGCGATAGAGCCATCTCAATGTTTATAGCAGCACAATTCACAAGAGCTGAATTATGAATCAACCCCTATGCTCATCAATAGATGGCATTAAGAAATCCATTCAGATTAAGAAATTGTGGTATACAATGGAGTTCTACTCAGCCATAAAAAAGAATGAAATTATGGCATTTGCTGGTAAATGAATGGAAATGGAGAACGTCATGCTAAGTGAAATTATTCAAACTCAGAAACTCAAAGGTCAATTTTTTTCTCTTATGCAGAATATATAATAAAATAAAGGAAATGCAGAATATATAATAAAATAAAGRAAATGGGGAGAGAAGGGCAGGATATTATGAAGAACCAAATATAAAAGAAGAGAAAAAGGAAATCAAGGAGAGGAAGGAGAATGGAAGAAGGGAGAAAAAAGTGGGGAACATGAACTGAAATCGTTCTCCATGTATGTATGAATTTGTCAGGACAAACCCAACTTCTGTGTATGATTATAAGATCTAAAGAAAGGAAAAAAAATAACAGGAATGTAAAAATTTTGGTTTTTCTATGAAGAATTTTTTAGTGTAATTAGTGTATAGTTCTAAAACATTTTTTTGGTTAACCATTAGAGAGCTTCAAAGTTATATTTTCTTTTAACTTTTATTATGTACATTTTAAAATACATTCTGAAATAAAATTTAGTATAATGAATCACCATATATTTATGACCCAAAAAAGTTTTAAATTAATGAAAATCTTAAGTCCTTTTAAAAATATGACTTTACATCCCTAATGCTTTAAATATCCTTTCCTTATAGCATTTTTACTTCATTAAAGTCATTAAAATATAGATTGATTGCCCTAGAAATATACAAACAGGAAATATACTTGTTACATAGGTTAAAATTTATTAATATTTCTTTATTTTTCAATAGCTTTGTTTTAACATTCCATTGGTGAAGGTATTTTAAGTTTATATAGCAGGTGTGTGTATATAGGCATATGTAATATGTAACTTATAGTGTCGCCTTTAAAAATACAAATRTCTAATATAATAGTAGAGTGATATTGCCTTCAGAGCTGAGAATTGATTCATTTAGGTGCTGGGAGACATTGTGAAAGGATAAACAATTTCAAATAGAAAAATGAGGTAAAGTTTTTGTGTAATTAAACTGTATTTTCAAATGTTTCATTGTGAAACTCAAATCTGGAAAGGTGTTTTATCTAAATTCTGCATTTCCCTGGGTTGCTACAGTTCTTTATAATGGATCACCTGTACTAGAGTTCTATTTCTTCTAAAATTGTGGTGGCTTTGTTCTCATTGTTCTTTAGATGCTATTAAACTACAACTGGTTGAAGCAGGCCTTGTTGAGTGCCTCCTAGAGATTGTGCAGCAGAAGGTGGATAGTGACAAGGAGGATGACATTGCTGAGCTCAAGACTGCTTCAGATCTAATGGTGTTATTACTTCTTGGAGGTGAGTTATAATTTATGTCAAAGAATATGGTTGTCAGAATTTTTAAATATATTAAGTTTTTTCTGTAATTATTAGGCATTTCCTCATTTTCTTATCTCACTTCCTGTTGAAGTGATGATTTTGAAACCTAATACCTCATGGAAAGTACTAGAGATGATGAACCAGAAAAAGAAGAATCTTTGTCATGTTCCAGTATATGAAAAGCTGACATAAAGCTGTGGCACCAAAGAAATGAAAGTTTATGGCTACAAAACTTATTCTAGGAAAATTCTAAACTCTTACGGTCTAACCCCTACTAAAAGCTTATTAAAAATAGACACTGCTTTTTCCATTATGAATTTAATAGTTCATGAGGTATGTAATGTCGCAATTAGATATTTACTTAGGGATATGGATTTGTTACTCCTAATTATATTTCTCTTTTTTAACTATTTATTTTACTTATGCCCAGATGAATCCATGCAGAAACTATTTGAAGGAGGAAAAGGCAACGTGTTCCAAAGGGTGCTTTCTTGGATTCCATCGAATAACCACCAGCTACAGCTTGCTGGAGCATTGGCAATTGCAAATTTTGCCAGAAATGGTAAACATATTAGTTCTTCCTTTGTAAATCAGATGTTCTACATTTTTTTTAGTTATGAAAAAATGTTTATTTTTATTCATTTAAATTTTTTTATTCTTTTTAGTTAAAAAATACATATACAATGGTGTGAGGGGGAAGGGAAGAAAAAAAAGAGACAGAGAGATAAGTGTCACAGTAGAATGGGTAGAGAATAGTGATGGGAGGGGAGGGGGGGATAGGGAGGGCAGCAGAATACAACTGAAACTAGGATTGCTGTATATATACACATGGATGTATAACCACTGTGATCCTGCAATCTGTACACGTGGAAAAATGAGAATTCATACCCTATTTGAATCAAATGTATGATATGTCAAGATCATTGTATTGTCTTGAGCAACTAATAAAAAAATGACAGTACAATGTATTTTGACATACATACGTGGAATATAACTTGCCATTTTTGTGGTTGTATATGATATGGAGTTACATGTCATGTATTCATATAAGAACATAGGAAAGTTATCTCTAGTTCATTTTACTATCTTTCCTATTCCCCCCCTCTACTTATTGTGAGTTAGCATACACRTATCAGAGAGAATATTCAGCCTTTGCTCTTTTAGGACTGGCTTATTTCACCTAGCATGGTATTGTCCAGTTCCGTCCATTTACTGGCAAATGCCATCATTTCATTGGTCTTTATGGATGAATGATATTCCATTGCGTATATATACCATATTTTCTGTATTCATTCATCTGTTGAAGGGCACTTAGGTTGGTTCCATAGCTTGGCTGTTGTGAATTGAGCTGCTGTGCTATAAACATTGATATGGCTGCATCACTGTAATATGCAGGTTTTAAGTCCTTTGGGTATAAACCAAGGAGAGAGGTAGCTGTGTCATATAGTGCTTCCATTCTAAGTTTTCTGAGGAATCTCCATACTTTTTTCCAGAGTGGTTGCACCAATTTGCAGTTCCACCAGCAATGTACCTTTTTCCCCACATCCTCACCAACATTTAGTATTAGTTGAATTCTTGATAATTGCCATTCTGACTAGAGTGAGATGAAATCTTAGTGTAGTTTTAATTCGCATTTCTATAATTGCTAGAGATGTTGAGATGTTCTACATTTTTAAAATTTTTGCTGAACTGTCACATGCTCTAAAACTAAGAGCTCAGAAATTTGTGTSTTGCTTTCTTAATTCTTCAGAAGTCAAATACTTATAGTGACTTTCATAACAAATTACATATTTTATGTAATTCAACTAATTTCTAATAGTTAAAATATCACAAACAATAATCATGCAGTGCTTCTTTTGAATACTTTTGTCAGAGATTAGTAAACTTGAGTCCCATTCTGGTGTACATCTGATATGCATTTGTGCCTGGTGATTTTATTTTGGGCTGAGTATTCATCCTAGGGTTATTGGGCCCTAATTTATACTCTTAGGCCCATAAAACTTTAGTATGAATTATCCTGATTTAGTGTARAATATTTATTTTACTGTTCATTCATTCTAGAAACTTGTACTTTGTCTAGGAAATGCTGATTTTTAGTTTGATTTTATTCCAGTGTGAACTATTATTATACAATACAAGTTGAGTATCCGGTATCCAAAGTGTTTCATATTTTGGATTTTTTCAGATTTTTGAATATTGCATATATAATGACATATCTTCATGACAGGGCTCAAGTCTAAACATGAAATTTATATTTCCTACATACCTTATACACATAGCCTAAAAGAAATTTCATAACAATATTTTTAATGCATTTGCATTTTGACTGTGATCTATCACCTGAGATCTATGTAGAATTTTGCATTCTACAAATAATGTTATGATAATACCCCCAAACTTGGTTTTTGGAGCAGTTCCGATTTTGAATTTTTGGATGGGGGAATACCATGTTAGTATAGTGGCAGACATCTTATTATTTATTCTTGTTTTTGAGAATGACCCTTTAATGATGGAGTTAAGAAGATTGGCAATAATATTGATAAGTATTAAAGCTAAATGTGGAAAATTTGAAAAATTCACTAAAAAATAATGTAAGTATCAGCCATGATAAAAGTTGACTGCTAAAACTAACACAAAAATTATTGGTGGATGGGATGATTTGAGCATATATTGGTAAATTATAAGATTGTAAAATAGGGATTTTTCTGATTTAAAAAAAATTTAAGCATCTTTATAATCAGACATCTCATTCTAGAAATAGAAAAATCTATAAATCTGATGGGGAAAAATTGGAATTCATTTTGTTGTAGCCTCATTTTCTCTAAAGTAGGTAATGAGCAGGCAACAGCATCTCAAAATATTCATAAACTTTTTTTTTTAATGGTGCTGGGGATTAAACCCAGAGCCTTGTGCATGGAAGGCAAGCACTCTACCCAACTGAGCTATGTCCCCAGCCCTCATAAACATTTTTTAAAGGAAGAAAATTGCTTTCATTTTTACCAGATGGAAATTGTATTCATATGGTAGACAATGGAATTGTAGAAAAACTTATGGATTTACTGGACAGACATGTAGAAGATGGAAATGTCACTGTACAGCATGCAGCACTAAGTGCCCTCAGAAATCTGGCTATTCCAGGTAAGACTTAAAAATAGGAGACAGCTATGTAGAAAATATAATACATAATTTTTGAAAGACTTTTACTGTGTATGATTTGTGGATCTTCCCTGACCGAGAAAAGAAAAATGGTCTTCAAATTGTTGACATTTTTGTTACTAATAAATGAAAATCATGTTAAATAAGTTTTCTGAGACAAAACAAAAATATTTGCTTTTAAGATCAGAGATTCTATTACCTTTTGTGAACTCTTACATTTTCATTATATTTGTACAGTTAAACTTTTTAACGTATCTTCTGTTGAAGTTAAGATAATGACATCAATTAACAAAGTCTCCTGAAGAAAGACTTAGTCAGGTTTTTGTCTTTTCCTACAAGCAGACATGTAATTTTTAAAAAATAGTCTTACTGTGTCTTTGGATTAGGAAGTGTTGGGCCATGAAATAATACAGAAAATAATTAAAATTATTATTTTATTCTRTTTTCCAAAAGTAAATTTCTGGTAAGGTAAAGTTGTGTGGTTCTTTGAAGATCTAATCCATATGCATTTGGTTTTGTTCACATGTACTTACTAGTTTATTTTAATATACTGTAATGTTGATCACTTATTAATAATTGGGTAAAAGACAAACACTAGAGATTGGGCTTAAAAAAACAGTATGTTTTGTATTGTTTTGTTCCTATAAACAGGATACTTACACACACCATTCTTAAAATTTATGGACAGGATTGTTTCTAAATAGAAAAATATAACCTGGGGCCTTAAAGCTAAAGGAAAGAGCTCAGTAAATGTTATTGAATTGAATATTTATTATTAAGAATGCTACGCCATTTTAACCATACTTTCTATTTTTCAGTGGTAAATAAAGCAAAGATGTTATCAGCTGGAGTCACAGAGACAGTTTTGAAATTCCTTAAATCTGAAATGCCCCCAGTTCAGTTCAAACTTCTGGGAACATTAAGAATGTTAATAGATGCACAAGGTAAGAGAAATGCTATCCCAAGCATTAYATTTTAGTGTGCCCCTCATTGAAAAATGACTTTTTTTTTTTTAGCTTTCACTATTATATTATCATAAAAGCAAATAGCAAATAAAAAGTTAAGAAGAGATTGGTTTAGAAATCTCATTTATTAATTTTCATGCTTATTATAGCTGACTTTAAATGGAAATTACATTATTTTTCTTTATTTATATAATCCTGGTTTTATGTTGGATATCAGTTCCTGAGGTGTTTTGACATTTCATACCTTTTACTTTGTCTTCAAAATCAAACTTTTTAAATTTTTCTTTTGCAAACAGGGAGAGAATTTTTCTATTTGCAAAAACAGTAATGAAAACCACTCCTGAAAATGAATTATGTTTATTTACTTATTTTTAAATTCTAAGCCCTTCTCTATATTAATTGCATAGAGAAAACCCTTTATTACAGTCTACCACACAACCAAGCTTAACCGAAAAGGTGTGAAGTCATTTATTTTTGTGTTTTGTTATAAAAGTTCACAATTTATAGAAAGTTTATAGAAATTTATAGAAAAAACCCATCAGGTGAGGAGTATTTGTAGTTCTTAAAGTTTATTGAGCTGTGTTTTTAGACATATAATTTTCCTTCAAGCTCACATCTTTTTTTAAAAAAGAAATATATTTTTAGTTGAAGATGGATACAATACCTTTATTCTATTTATTTATCTGTAGTACTGAGAATCTAACCCAGTTTGTCACATGTGCTACACAAGCATTCTACCACTGAGTTACAACCCCAGCCCACACTCTTATATCTTTTCCAGTTATTTCAGCTGATTGCCCTTCAGTGATTCTTTCCTTTTGGGTTTGTCTTCTTTCCTATAGCAGAAGCTGCTGAACAACTGGGAAGAAATGTTAAGCTAGTGGAACGTTTGGTAGAATGGTGTGAAGCCAAAGATCATGCTGGTGTGATGGGAGAGTCGAACAGACTGCTCTCTGCCCTCATACGCCACAGTAAATCAAAAGTAAGTTCCAGAGAATACAGTTCACCTAAAAAATGTTAGAGTGGCCTTTTAGGAAACCACTATTGTAGATCCTTTATCATGAGCTTGTATTTTTATGCATTTTACGTTAAGTATACTTACGTAAATGTATATTTATGTATACATTTACGTAAGTATACTAGAGAAAAATGAAGATTGAGTTTTTTTATCTATCCAAATAGAAGGAGTTTTTATCTCTTTCATTTAAATAATCAAGTTTCTTCACATCTAGGTATTTCATACAAACTGAGATAATACCCATCTAAAACTGTTGTAAGGATTATGCATACAAAGAACCCAACTTATACCTCAGACATAGGAAGTACCCAGTAAATGGAGGTTGCTGTTGCTTCCGCCATTGTTACTATTATTTTTACCATCACCAGCATYGGTGTTGAATATCTTCTGTGTAGTGGGCACTGACCTAAGCCAGCTACTAATACTGAGAAATTAATGGATATCTAGATGGTATATGATGCCCAGTCTATACTTATGGCAATGTCCAACCTAGTAGCTATATGACTGAAAAAATGAACTAATTTAAAGATCACAATGATGGGAACCCAGTCTAGCAATGTAGTGGCTGCTTTAATATCTTTTTAAATATTCTTTTCTAAGGTGAGCCTTTTTTTTATGATATAACTGCAAAAGTGGCTATGTATGAAAAGAAAGATAGTTTAGAATTCAAATTGACTAGCCATTTCCATTTATTTATAGTACACACAGAAGACTACAAGAGAAAAAAATAAATATATCCTTTCATTTTTGGAAATCTCTTTCACATAAATAGACTTCACCCTCACGCAGGAGTGTTTCCCATCAGGTGTGACATATGGAGACAGCCTAGGGAAAGACACGTTAGCCAGGGCCTTCCTGTTACCTCTTCCCAGACCAGCCAGGAGTTCATTCATTGTCATTGCTACCAACACAGGACTAAGTAGATGGAAAGTGTAAAGAACTAATGGGAAAATGGCTTCCTTTGATACCCACTTCATCCTGCTCCATCATACTGTCTCTTAGACCTGTTGAACAGATAATATTTGAATGCTTGCATTGTTGTAAAATGTAATTGTTACTTTAAGGGAGTAAACTGTCTAGTGAGGTACAGATCTGAAAACAACTGAGTACATCATAAAGCTGCACACTCCATTCAGTGAGGAAAGAACAGCCACAGCTGTCTGGTCTAGGGTGGTATCACAGAAGGAATGGTGTTTTACAGTTTACTGGGAATCTCTCAGGAGAAAGGAAAGAGAAGATAAGGGAGCGACTTTTCAGGCATAGAATACAGTACAAAAGGGGAGTTGTAAAATGGCATAGTTTTAGAGGAAAACTGCAAATGCAGTATTGCTGGAGTATGGACTGTATAGAGAAAGTGGCTAGAAAGGATGAGAATCAGGAATTAAGATGAATTATAGGCCAAATTAAAGTGTATGAGTTTGATTTCCCTAGAGAATAGGGAGCTCTTAACCAGAAGTGCCATTATTTGGTTTTCCTTTAGAAAGATGAGTGTAAGATTTAATGGAGGCAGGAAGAACAGTTTAAAAGTTACTACAAAAATATATATATGAGAGATAATAAAGACCTGAATGAAGGTTTGGGGTTGAACAGTTTAAAATTGCTAATGAATCATTTTTGTCACAAAGTAAAAAATGTAATTGTTTCATTTAATGGTTCATCTGACTAGTAGTAGTAAAGGTGGAAAAGAAAAGGACTTGAGAAAATGTGAGAAGTAAAAGTGGTTACAGGAAGAGGCTTTTTTTTTTAATTTGTTTGTTTTAGATATACATGACAGTAGGGTGTATKTTGACATATTATACATACATGGATTGCAGCCAATTCCAATTAGGATTCCATTCTTATGGTTGAACATGATGTGGAATTTCACCGGTTGTGTATTCATATATGAGCATAGGGAAGCTATGTCCAATTCATTCTACTGTCTCCTATTCTCATGCCCCCTGGATTCCCTTCATTCCCCTTTGTCTAATCCAATGAACTTCTGTACTTCCCACCTCCCTTGTTATGAGTTAACATCCACATATCAGAGAGAACATTCAGCCTTTTGTCTTTTGGGACTGGCTTATTTCACTTAGCAGGGTATTCTCCAGTTCCATTCATTTAATGGCAAATGTCATTATTTCATTGTTCTTTATGGCTTAATGATATTCCATTGTATATATATACCATATTTTCTTTATTCATTCATCTGTTGAAGGGCACCTAGGTTGGTTCCATAGCTTGGCTATTGTGAATTCAGCTGCTATAAATATTGATGTGGCTGCCTCACTGTAATATGCTGATTTTAAGTCCTTTGGGTATAAACCAAGGAGTGAAATAGCTGTGTCGTATGGTGGTTCCATTCCAAGTTTTCTAGGAATCTCCATACTTCTTTCCAGAGTGGTTGCACCAATTTGCAGTCCCACCAGTAATGTACCTTTTCCCCACATCCTCACCAACATTTAGTGTTAGCTGTATTCTTGATAATTGCCATTCTGACTAGAGTGAGATGAAATCTTAGTGTAGTTTTAATTTGCATTTCTATAATTGCTAGAGATGTTGAACATTTGTTTTTACATATTTGTTGACCAATCATATTTCTTCTTCTGTGCCTGTTCAGTTCCTTTGCCCATTTGTTGATTGGGTTGTTTTTTGAGTTCTTTGTATATCCTGGATATTAACACTCTATCAGAGGTGCAGGTGGCAAAGATTTTCTCCCATTCTGTAGGCTCTCTCATACATTGCTGTGAAGAAGCTTTTTAGTTTGATGCTGTCCTACTTATTGATCCTTGATTTTTTTTTTTCTTGCACTTTAGAAGTATTATTGAGGAAGTCTATTCCTGAGCTGACGTGGTGGAGAGTTGGGCCTGTTTTTTTCTTCTAGTAGGCACAGGGTCTCTGGTCTAATGCCCAGGTCCTTGATCAACTTTGAGTTGAGTTTTGCATAGGGTTAGAGATAAGGGTTTAATTTCATTCAGCTGCATATGATTTCCAGGTTTCCCAGCACCATTTGTTGAAGAGGCTATCTTTTCTCCAATGTATGTTTATGGTGTCTTTGCCTAGTATGAGATAACTGTATTTATTTGGGGTTTGTCTCTGTGTCTTCTATTCTGTATCATTGGTCTTCATATCTGTCTTGGTATTAATACCATGTTGTTTTTGTTGCTGTGTAGTATAATTTAAGGTCTGGTATTGTGATACCTCCTGCATTACTTTTCTTGCTAAGTATTGTTTTGTTTATTCTGGGTCTCTTATTTTTCCAAGTGAATTTCATGACTGCCTTTTCTATTTCTATGAACAACATCATTGGAATTTTAATGGGAATTGCATTTTAAAAATCTGCATAGTGCTTTTGGGAGTATGGCCATTTTGACAATATTAATTCTGCCTATCCAAGAGCATGGGAGATCTTTCCATTTTWTAGGTCTTCAGTTTGGAAAAGGTGGTTTTAAAGGTACTTCCATGTTTGGGGTTTGGTACCAGCTAGGTTGTGCTATTCATCAAAAGTCACAAAAAGAAGCACTCCCTCACTTGCTTATTCCCAACCCACTTTCCTGTACTTGGAAAGTTTACCATTTATCCTCTGCTTCATTCCATGAGAATTCTTACTAATAGTTTAGAGTAAGGCAAACTACCATTCTGTTAAGTAGATTAAGCAACAGAGACATGTTTCCTGTATCTGAATTTAGAACACTGAGACAGATGTTTTGGTTGCCTCTTTCCAGTAGTGACCTGAGAAAGAGCTACACAGTGTGCCTTTGACTATAACTGGACCTGGGTAACCTCCTGGTGGGGCAGGTGGAGGGAGGCTCCATGCTGGTGGAGATATGGGAGCAGAGCCCAATATGCAGTATTATGCAGGCAGAACCTGGTGTTAATAGGAACATTTTCAGCACTCTGCTGGTGATTGTCATCCTTATGGCATTTTGTGTTTATAAGCCCATTCATGTTGGTAACAGCCAAAGTTGACTTAGAATGCCCTGGTTGCATCCACTGTGAGGATCTTAGTGACCTGAGGCCTGTGACTCCTCACCTACATCTGGATCTGTACTTGGATGACCCACTGAAGTCAGGGTCACTTCAGGTACATAGAAGATTTTTTTTCCCCCAAATGAACACAATGCCTTTATTTATCTACTTTTAAGTGGTGCTGAGGATCAAACCCAGTGCCTCTCACATGCCAGGCAAGTGCTCTACCATTGAGCCACCCCAGCCCTACATAGAAAGTATTTTTAATGTTTAATGGGTCTCATTTTGTTGCCCAGCCTGTCCACAAACTGCTGAACTAAGCAACCTCACTCAGCCTCATGACAAAAAGTACCAGAATACAAAAGAAAAAATAAATAAATAAACTCTTAGATAAATTCCTGTTACATGAAGTAGAAAGGCCAACAAAGCCACTATTAATTCATAATGAACCATCAGTTCAGTATGAAACAATAGTATTAATACAACCAGAACATGGGTGGACAAAAAATTTATCTCAACTCTTAAACAGCCATATTTAGGAGCCTAAATGATTCAAATGCTTATAATACTAAGTTGAAATTTGAGAATTTTAAGGTACTTCTCTGAATTTCATTTATCACAGATTTCCCTTTCCCTCATCTGACCTCTCACTTTCCCCAGCCCCCTTTGGGTCATTGACCAACCAACATAATACAATAATTTAACCATCCATTTAACCATTCCATTAGTGGGAATGGATTTAAAGTCACAGTTCAGACCTGGAAGGTATTATAACATTCTCATCCAAATTATTACACAGATAAGGAAATGGAAGGGTAAAGTRCCTCATACAAAGGCCCATAGTCAGTCTGGATGTCAGGTTGCAAGCTAACTGACATAATGGAATTGTGTTGTCCTATGGCAGCTTCCATCTGCAAGAAGCTTCCACCTCACAAGCCAGGGCACCTGGCCAGATTTTTTTTTTTTTTACATAACATTATGACTTTGTCAGAATACTACTTTGAATCCTTGCGTCA